CTGTCCCCCTCAGCAAGGAGTCCCCCACCACGATCACACGCCTCCTCCCAGGATTAGCAGTGACTGTTCCCTGTGGTGGAACTCCCAGGGTCCCCTTCTCTGTCCCTGAAGTTATCCATGCTGCTCTTCCTCATCTTCCTTGATAAGGGAAAGATCTTCAAATCGATTCTGTAGCTGTAAGCTCCCAAAACTATCCCTAGTCTCCCTACTTCTGTGCATGACATTCTTCCAGTCGTCTATCTCCTGTGTATGTGAAGTAACCTTCTCTTCCCCAGCAACTTATTCTGTGTGGTCTCTGTCCAAGACAGTTCATTCTGTTCTGTCCAGGAAAACCTCCTGCTCCCTAATATGCTGAAGTGTAGCTATCCGTGCCTCCTGCTGCTGTACTTTCTCTTCAAAAAGGGCTACCAACTTGCACTTGGGGCATGTGAAGTTCCCTACCTCTGTAGGCAAGAAGACAAGCATCCCACAAATGTTGCAGGTAACGGCAATAGTTCCCTCAGTGTTCATACTGAGAAGTCTTAATTAGTCCCTGAAACAGGACTATGGCCTTCCTCCTCAAAGAAAATTCCTCACTAAACACCAGGCTCCTGATGACCTGAACTTTTCACCAATCACTGCCGGTGATAAAAATTCTGAGAGGAGTTATATAGAGCCAGATTGCTAGTTCCACCTCCTAGTGACTCACAAGTGTGACTCACAGAATCTCCACCCCCTCAGCAACAACACACTCTCCCCAAGAGTGTTTAAAAGTTCAAAACTCACCCCCTTAGAGTCGCTGCCCAGGAACTGCTCTCCTCCTCCTCCTCCTCTCTAGTAGAAAGTTGCCTAGAAGAGTCTAGAAGGCTCTGAGAGGAGTTGTATGATGCTAGAGTGCTACCTCCACCCCCTAGTGACTCACAAGTGTGACTCACAAGTGTGACTCACAAGTGTGACTCACAGAAGCTCCACCCCCTCAGTAACAACACACTCTCCCCAAAAGTTTTTAAAAGTTCAAACTCAACCCCTTAGAATGGCTGCCCAGGAACTGCTCACCTCCTCCATTCTAGCAGGAACTTGCCTAGAAAGGAACATAATTGCCAGCTGAATGTTATATTTTATGTTATACTGAGTGTATACTACTCTCCAATTTACTGTAATGCCCCAAAGCCAGCTCACTCAACCATTCCGTGCTTCGTGGCAAACAGGCAGGATCAGATAAATCTCTGTCTAGCTCCCCATCTCCAAGTTCTCAATGATTACAAAAGTGCTGAAATCCCAGAAGGATCCTCACAGATCTTAGTGCTGATGTCATTATTGTGGGTAGCCTGAGTTCAATCCTCCCTGCTCACCATGAAGCACAAAATGGCCATATGAGATGCTTGAGGTGTTTATCATATATCAGGAGGTGGGGCTTTCAGTGCTGCACAGATGGGAATGCCAACTCCCACAGCACCTGAAAAAGGACATCCACACATGAAAGAGACACTTAGGTATACAGATTTCCCTAACCAAATTCCTCAGTCTTCAGGTGGTATGAAATCATCTTCCTCTGTTACTGGTTTCTGCCATAAATGAAGTAAGAAGGAATCCATGAACAGCCATCCTTTGAAACATTCAGCTGGCAATCATGTTAACAGTGGAGGTTGTGAGACCAGAATCAATTAGCACCGGAACAGATGAGGATCTGAATAGGTCAGATCATGAGAAGTGTTTCTTGGAATATTATGTTTGCTCATCAGAAATTGCTATATTAGTCCAACACTTCCAAGTCAGTGTGGGAGCGATTGGGACATGACATGCTAAGGAGATATTGGTCTAAATCTTTTTGTTTGTCCTAATTAGAATAAAACCATTGAACCATTTGGATTTGCCTTCACACCATCTCACCATTCAACAATTGGTTCAATCAGTTTACTCTGACTGGGACTCTATCTCTTATATAATCTTTGATGCACCAAAGTGGCCTTCCATCATACATTCACACAATATGCCCTCCCACTCTAGGCCTAAAACACACCAAGGTTGCCCTTTGAAACCACAATGAAGTAAGTCTTCAATATATGTATGCAAGTAAGTTTTCCTCCTCATCAGTTTTCAGGGCATACTCAGTATAATACAACATTCCCCTTTTAAGCAATTCCAAGTCCCTTTATTTACAATGTTCATTACATTTAGCGTAAAATATAGCTAGGAACACTAGCTGATCCTTGCATGTCTAGACTGCAGAATTAATAAGGCATCTCCTGGGTTGCTAAATAACATTTGATTTGAAATTTCTATCACATTGGAGAATGAATACAGAACAAGTTCTTCCAATAAAAGACATACAGAACAACTTTCCTGATGAACAAAGGCGGGTGGACTCTGTGAAAGCATCAACACATACAATCTATTTTGATATTTGGTTTGGATAATGAATCTTGATGATAATAAGCTGAACCCTCACTGCAAACACACCAGGATCGTGCTGGGTAAGATTAACAATGCTCCTTGACTGTCTGCCTACTTAGCGAGCAGCATTAACCACTAGGAGCATGAATGATTTAATGCCCAGATGCTGAGCAATTGGAGATGCAGAAAGCACCCTACAGAGAAGCAATTATTGCCTTGGAGGGTCTTATTATCCTCACCCTGCCATGAATTCTTCAGAGGGTAAACCCACTTCCATTGTTGTATATTTACTAAAGCAGAATCCTGTAAAGCAACTTTCAGTGGAAGAAGTTTGTCATCCAAGAAATTTCATCCTCTCTCACCTTTTTGCTAAAACCTACACGGTATACAGCAATCTATGTAAAATTAGTAATGAACTTAACTGAAGAAGCACACAGTTCACTACGGGTGGTTGGACCAATACTATCCTTAAGAAGCAAAATGTTTCACAGTACAAATAATAATAATAATAATAATAATAATAATAATAATAATAATAATAAATAGTGAATCAAGGGAATTGGTTTAGCATTCTTCCTGAATTTTGCCTAAGGAGAAACTGGAAAATTGGTTGTTTGGGGAAGATATACAAGAGCTTTTGACTGAAGAAGTCAAAGTAATTTCTGTTCAGACTAATTCATTTTACCAGTATGTTCCACACACTCTCAAATTTCACCTGAAGTAAACTCTGAAGACTATTTAGGTTTCTCTTTGACAAAATGTCCAAAAGCAAGAAAATGTGGTTGTTATTGTTTGCCTTCAAGACATTTCCAACTTAAGACTTGGCAGGATTTGTTCAGAGCTTCTCCTTGAGGCTGAGAGCATGTGATTTGCTTAAGGTCAGTTAGTGGGTTTCATGGCCAAGCTGGGAATCAAACCCTGGTCTTCAGGGTCATAGTCCAACACTCAAACCACTATGCCACACTAGAAAGCTGGAAGATATATTGACCAAGACCCAACTCGGTGCATAAGCTAGATATTTCATTTAAAGATTCCACTGCATCTGTGAGAATTGGCAAGTCCCTCCTAAATGCAACCTGCCCCCCCCCATTATAGAATGATGGTAAGGTTGTAGGGTTTACAAGCAAGAGGAGGCCATTTTGTGGTGAAGCAAGGCGCTCCAGTTCATGTAACCAATTGGATCCTCATCTTTCTTTCTATCTGAGAAATGGAATTATGGCTGATATCTTTCATATTAATGGACTGGGGAATCTGCTCAAGATGTGTAGCCATTCTGGACCATTCTGGGATTTTTGGTCCAAACCTAACTTTTCCAAGTGATAGTTTAGGCTCAACAAATTGTGTACCATGACAATTACACTAAGGGTAACTGGGGGGGGGGAATTAACAGGTTTAATAGTCATTCCCTGTTGCAAACTATGACTTTAATATATGTCTCTACAATCTCTCTTTCCCCAGATATGTCCCAGAACATACAATAAATAGATGATACCATTCAGAATTAGGAGTGGATAAATCTAATTTTTCTCCTAAAAAAGTTAGCATCTCATTTCATAACTGATATTTTTTTGCAGTCTTCCTTGTAATGTCTGACACATGCTGCTAGCCATCCAACAGCAAGGTGCTGTGGCTTCAATGTTGGATTATGTATCAAACAAACCAGGGTCCAAGTCATAGTGTCATGAATCAAGGTTCTCTGTTGCTTTTTTGATCCAGAGAGAAATTTAGCCACCCTAGATTATAGGATTTTCAACAAAGACACATAGGAAACCAGATCTGGGTTTAAACACTATACATGTAACATTTATTAAGACAATCACTTAAGTATCAAGAGCTCTGGCACACACACATTCATACAACATACTCATAAAGGTCCTCCACTGAATGTTGAACAGGCATCCATGAAGCTTGGGATGACACCTTGCCTGGGTAGGTGCCAACAAAGTGAGGCCGGTATACCACTTCTTTTATACCTTGTTCATCTTTCTTTTGATGAAAACATGTTTTTCCTTGGTTTCCATAGTTTCAAAACATATCAGTGACATATCTTGTTGACATTAAAACATCCTGGACCATCATGCCAAGTTCTTATCAGTTGATGCAGCTCGGAGTGTCAAGCACACCTTGTTTGTACAAATTCCTTCTTGTTTTGCAAATTCCATCTGCTCCGGCCAACTCAACATTCCTTTTAATTTCTCCCTTTCATTATCAATCATAGAGTTGGAAGAGACCACAAGGGCCATCACATCCAACCCCTTGCCCTATCCAGTCATGAAAATCTACTGTGACCTTGGACAAGTCACATTCTCTCAGCCTTACAGGAAAGTAATGAAGAACTTCTACTCTGACAAAATATTACCAAGAAAGGGTATTAGTATGTGATAAGATCAACATATGTCATAGTCAATATGAAGGTGCAGAACAACAACAACAGATACAAATAACTGTACAAGAAGCAGAATAGCTTTTCTTATCATTTCAGTCTCATGCAAGCTACTTGTCAAGCACATGTTTAAGCAAAATAAGCCCTTAGAAAAAACTATTGCCTTTTTCCTCTTTTAGATCATCCTGGTCATCTGTAGTTGGACCATACAGTGACCCAGAAAAGATTTACTGAGATGAATAGCGTTAGTCAGATCCAATCATAAATTCTATGTCCAGAGAGGTACTCACAGTCCATAGTTATAATTTAGAACAGGGGTAGGCAACCTAAGGCCTGGGGGCTGGATGCGGCCCCCCAAAGCCTTTGGACCGGCCCCAGGCCAGTCCTGTTGCTGCCGCCCCCCTGCTGCCACCCGCCATGATGATATTGATTATTGTTGTTATTACTTGTTCTTGGGTTTTTCTTGGCAAAATCTCCACAGGAGTTTTGCCATGGCTTTTCTGGGGCTGAGAGAGTGTGCATGCATATTTTTAATTTAATTTTTTTTAAATTTTATTTATTTATTTATTTATTTATTTTTGATGCTCCGCCCCCCCAATTGTCTGAGGGACAGCAACCCGGCCCCTGGCTCAAAAAGGTTGCCTACCCCTGATTTAGAACCACTTCAACAGCCATGGCCCCATCCAATGGTGCCATGGAATTTTAGTTATACTGAGCTACTTAACATTCTACCTAGAGAGTGCTAGTACTGTTGTTCAGCAGAGTATGCTAGAGCTCTCTAACTACCAATACTAAGTAGTTCACCAAACAGATACCAGGATTCAATAGGACAGAGCCATGGTAATTAAAGCTGTATCAAAGTGTCCCTATATACTTCTTCAGTATGGATACACCACAGTTCTATGTCCACTCTTTAAGAAAATTTAGAAAAATATAGACAAAATAGATTCAGGCGAAGCCACTGAAGATGGTCTAAGACTAATAAGCTTATCACATGGCACTTACAAGAACAGGAATGGAACGGAATGGGGCAAAAACACATGTTACTGGACAGGAGAACACCACTGATGCTGCCAGGGTCTCCAAGCCATTCCCCAGCCATTCCTAGCAGCTAATTTTTGAAAGACAGTTCAAAACCATCCTTCAAAAATCAGCTGCCAGGAATGGCTTGGGGACCCCGGCAGCATCGGTGGTGTTCTCCTGTCCAGTAACATGCATTTTTGCCCCATTCCTTTTCCTTCCATTCCCATTCCTTAAGTGCCATGCAATCAGCTTATAAGACTGAGGGCCTTTACAGACTGCCAGAAATAATGCAGCTTGAGTCCACTTTAACTGCCCTAGTTCAGTGCTATGGAATCATGGGAACTGTACTTTTTCTGAGACATTGAGCCTTATATGTCAGAGACTGCTGGTCCCATGATTCCCTAGCACTGAGCCAGGGCAGTTAAAGTGAACTCAAGCTGCATTATTTCTGGCAGTCTGCAAAGGCCCTGAGTGTAGTCATGATATCACTGTTCAGATATCCAAAGGCCTGTCAGGCAAGAGAGACCAAATACTTAGAATCATCGAATCAGAAGTTGGAAGAGATCCCAAGGGTCATCCACTTAAATCCCCTGACATGTAGGAAATCACAATCAAAGCACCTCTGACAGATGGCCATCCAGCCTCTGTTTAAAAACCTCCAAAGAAGGAGACTTCAAGACACTCTGAGGGAGTGTGTTCCACTTGTTCTCTGCTCCTCCAAAGGCCAGAACTAGATTATTGCAGGTTACAAGAAGATAGATTAGAACACTATGAGAAGAAACATCTTGATGACAAGAGACATTAAACAATGAAATCAATTACATAAAGAGGCTCTCCTTGCTAGCGGACTTCAACCAAATGTTGGACTGTCACTTACTGGGGATTTTGTAGTTTGGGATTCTTGCATCAAGCAGGAAGTTGGAGTAAATAGCTAACAACAGCCCCACCCAGCTCTATATTGATAATATGACCAGAATAATTTTAATAAGAAACTAATGCCTTTTCTGAATTCAATCAAGTTAGAAAGACATTAAATAAAGTTTGGGCTGGGATATATCACTTTTTTTTTGAGAGAGAAACAAACAAGAAAATTATGGGATCTGGTGCTCATCTTTGATTTATAGAACTGTCATCTCTGTTAATTCACTTTTCTTGAATTTCTTTGCAAACAGCTGTTCTCACTGTCATAATATGATGGCTTGAGTTAAGACTATAGATATTGCAGAGAATATGTGAAGAATGCTGTTGCCATGAGGGTTATTATTTTCAGGCTTTTCAAAGACTGGTAATGTGTATAGGGTGAGCCAACTGAAGCATATACCCTGAGTAAATGCTGGATGGGAGAACAAAATTGACAATGGTGATCAGTGTGATATATTGACAGCCATTAAAATAATGTTAAATTATATACTTTTTTCAGACAGAAGCAACTAGACATGATTTCAAGTTAGTAGATGAGTTCAAGGTAATCAGGAAACAAAATAAAAGTCATAAGCCATAGAAGCTCATCATTGGCTCTGTTTCAGCAGTCTAACATGCAGGAGATAGCAAGAGAATATCAGAAATGTTTTATTTTGGCCAAATGCTGCTGACTGAACATTTTGAGCTGTGACTGAGCATTTATTTGGAGAGGGAAAACATATCTCAACACATTGCTCAGCATATGCAAAACTGGATAATGAAAAATTGTCATGTACTGGCTAACTTCAGCTCAGAACACAAGCCTCAGCAAAGTCAGAAAGCTTTATTCAGAAAACTGAATTAATCACAGCACAATGATGTTGTCAGGATGGAAGCATTTTTAGTTATATTCTTGTTTTGTGTCATCATTTTTGAGAAATCTTGGAAAATAGATGAGGTGTCAGAGGACTGGAGAAGGGCAAATATTGTCACTCTCTTTAAAAAAAACATAAAAATTAACAGAGGAAAGTCAGTAATTCTCACAAAAAATTTGGCCAAATCAAAAGAAATTGAATTGAGTAATAAAATGGGTATGACAATTAAAACAAAAGTTAAATATTTGGGTATAATAACACCCAAGAAAACTATTTGTCTGTATGATGAAAATTATAAGAAGGTTTGGAATGAAATTAAACAGAACATGCATAGGTGGAATAAGAAACAACTGTCATTGCTAGGTAGGATCTCGGCTATAAAAATGTTTGTACTGCCAAAAATGCTTTTCTTTTTCAAATGATCCCCATAATAACTACATATAAACCCTTCAAAATTTGGCACAGAGATCTTAGTACTTTTATTTGGCAAAAGAAAAGACCAAGGGTTAGATTAAAGATTCTACAGGATGTTAAGGAGAGAGGAGGATTGGGAGTGCCAAACCTGAGATTATATTTTGAATCATGTTGTGTCTTGTGGATTAAGGAATGGATACTTCTGAAAAATAACAAATTACTAGAGCTTGAAGGAGAAGGATTATATTTTGGATGGCATGCATTCTTGGGCTATGATAAACTAAAAGCTAACAAAGACTTTAATTCCCATTGTGTAAGGAAAGCTTTATTCCATGTATGGAAAAGATATAAAGCTAGAATCATGCCAAAACTTC